AAATTAATTACTACTTTCATGTCTGCTGTTAGAGCATTGACTTGTTCAGTGGAAGAGGTTATTACATTTTTTACTTTATCAGTTAAAGTTTTTATCAAAAAATACTTTTTGATCTTTACAATTAAGTTTGTATCATTTTATCAATTCCATATTATCATATAAGTCCAATATATTTTCGCTGGAAAGTGTTTGTCGTCTCCTCTTTGCTGCCATCTTATTACTCCTAACTAGGTTAGGAGACCTCTCCAGCTCTCTTAAATAATTTAGGAGCTGAGACCTCTTTTAACACTTAGGAACCTTTATGAATCACTCTTATTCTTAAGTCTAGGAATAAGAGTAAAATTACGTCATTCTTAGAATTTTGACACACTTAAGACTAAACTTTTACTTTGAGCGGCTTTATACATACGGCCCCTGATCTTCAAACAGGGGAGACAAAATGTATGGCATAGTAAGCTGTCCATGTCAACAGTTCACCGGTGAAAAGAAATGGACACGTTTTGACCAGTACAGCTCTCACAAAAATAAAAAACTTCATTTTGATGACATTGGCCAATTTGCTGACACATGAACTAGGCTTTTGAAGCATGAATTAAATGTTTTGGGTGACTACATTTTGCAAACGCACAAACGAGTTGTGATGTAAACAGTTCTAAAAATTGCACTTACAGTTTACAGAATGTTTTAAAAAATGAGCCAAAGCAATAATTAAATTAGCTAAGGCGATGCAATCAAATGTTTAATGCTATCTGTCTATTCTATATAATAAATGTATCCTTGTTTTAAGCAAAACGCTGTTTTTTTTAACAATAGGATACATCTACCATAGAGAAAAGTTCTGTCCTAATTGACAAACACCTGTATAATGTTTTTTCTAGGTCAGTTTTGACGGTTGCTTGTGAGCAGACAGAAGTGCTTTTGTTTGACCCCGTTTCTTCCAGACATATCAAAACACTGGTGGAGGCTCATGAGGACTGTGTAAACAACATAAGGTACATGTGCACACAATATATAATCGATCACAGTGTGCAGGAACCTCAGTTACATTAGCGAAAGATTTTCTATAACAGGTTTTATGTAAGAACTAATTCATAGTAGTAAGAACTAATTCAAAACCATTTGCATGTTGAACACTAGGATTTGCATACTGCACAATTTGCATGTCTTAGTTGCTTCTGTTATCCTTTTGTTTTTCCATCTCTTACACACACATATAATGTCTGGCACAGTCATAAAGTCCATGAAGATGACCACAGTGTTGTCTAAGTATAAGTTTGTTGGGCTGTGTGCTATTCAGGTTTCTCGACAACCGGCTGTTTGCGACCTGCTCTGATGACACCACCATTGCATTGTGGGATTTGCGTAAACTCAACTCGAAGGTGTGCTCATTGCATGGCCACGCTAGCTGGGTCAAGAACATAGAGTATGATACACACACTCGCCTGCTGGTGACGTCAGGATTTGACGGAAATGTCATCACATGGGATACCAACAGGTACGTTTTGTGGTTTGGAGGTGTGCGTTTCCTAGCTGTCTTAAATAAAGGAATAATTTCACCAAAGAAAATTAGCAGAAAATGTTCTCACTCTAAGGCCAATCCATAACGTAGCTTAGTTTGTTTCTTCATCAGAACAGATTTAGAGAAATTTAACACTACAGCATTTGCTCACCAATGGATGCTGTGCAGTGAATGGGTGCCGTCAGAATAAAAACTAAAAACATCACAATAATCCACAAGTAATCCACACGACTCCAGTGCATCAATTAATGTCTTGTCAAGTGAAAGGCTGCTTGTAAGAAATGTATCCATCTGTCATTAAGGTGTTGTAACTGTAAACAATCAATTCTGACCAAAATGCAAGTCCATAATCCATAACAATGCTTCCTCCACTAAATCCATCCCCTGTTGTTCTCTCACATCAGAATCCACAGACATATTTGTTTAGAACTGTTTTGTAGAGTTTTCACTTGTAAACTATTTGATCTGTGTACAGTATATTTCTCTCCTGATTTATTCACTGGAGAATGCAATGTAATGGATGGAAGACTCGTATTATAGCCAGAAGCAACAGTTTGAAGTTAGAAACGTCTTAATGATGGATTTGTTTTTACAAACATGCAGCTTTTCACTTCACAAAATGTTAGTTGATGGACTGGAGTCATGTGGATTATTGTGATGTTTTATCAGCTGTTTGGACTCTCATTTTGACGGCACCCATTCACTGCAGAGGATCCATTGGTATGCAAGTGAGCAAATTAATTCTACATTTTTCCAAATCTGTCCTGATTAAGAAACAAACTAATCTACATCTTGAATGATCTTAGGGTAAGTACATTTATAAGACATTTTCAGCATTTTTTTTTTGTGCTGTCAAACAATTAATCGCGATTAATCTCATCCAAAATAAAAGTTTTTGTTTACATAATATATGTGTGTGTACTGTGTATATTTATTATTTATATATAAATACACACACATGCATATTTCAGAAAAATATGTTCATGTTTGCATATTAAATATATTTATGTATAATATAAATTATATGAATTTAAATATATATACATGGAAATATTTTCAATATATATATTGTATTTGTGTGTTTATATGTACAAAATAAATATACACAGTACACACACATATATTATGTAAACAAAAATTTTTACTTTGGATGCGATTAATCATTTGACAGCACTTTTTTTTTTTTTTTGTGAACTACTCTTTTAAGATTGCACATATAAGTGGTTTTGTGCAACTGTGTGTCATTGCACTTGCTGTTTGTTTAGGTTCACAGAGGATGGCTGTCCACACAAGAAGTTTTTCCACACACGCTATCTCATGCGGATGCGTCTGACTCCAGACTGCAGTAAGATGTTAATCTCCACCTCCTCTGGTTACCTGCTCATCTTACATGACCTTGATCTCACCCAGAGCCTTGAGGTTGGCAGCTACCGCATCCTACGGGCCCGCAGAGCTCCACTCAGCACAGGTACTTACATAAAGCATAAACAAAGATACTTGTGAATCTGAAATGATGAATACTAAGCTCTGAAATTATGGAGGCGGCATGGAAATTGATTAGCATTCAAAGGGTGAATTTTGCTATAGGTGGGATAGGGCAACATTCAACATTTAAAAAACGTAGTTTCTTTCAATTCATGAGTTGGAATTTTAACGGAATTTTAATTTATATTTACTGTACTGCATTTCAATAAATTCAACACAAACTCAAATAAACAAGGGATTATTTCATTAATCCAACACCATTAATACAAATTGTTTTGTCTGGGGTAAATTGAATCATTCTGGGTAATTAAATGTTTTTCCACTGGTCCATAAAATAAAAGTAAAATTATTAAATATAATGAAACGTGTATAAATTGACTTCAAACATTAAGTAATATTAACAAAGCATACACTAGCAATCAAATTTGGGGTTTATAAATGTTTTAAAAATGTTTCAGAAAGTCTCATGCTCACCAAGGCGGTATTTATTTGATCAAAAATATATTGTGAAATATTACAATTTAAAATGAATGTATTTTGAAATGAAATTTAATTCTGATGCAAAGCTGAATTTTCAGCATCATTACTCCAATTTTCATTGTCACATGATCCTTCAGAAGTCATTCTAATATGCTGATTTGCTCCTCGAACATTTATTATTGTCAGTGCTAAAAACAGCTGTGCTGCTTAATATTTTTGTGGAAACAGTGATACGTTTTTCCCCCAGGATTTTGTGATGAATACAGTTCAAAAGAACAGCGTTTCTTTGAAATAGATCTGCAACATTATGCTTGTCTCTTTACTGTCATTTTTGATGAATTCAATGCAACTTATTCAATAAAATTATTAATTATTTATTTATTTTTTAAACAGCACTTCATTTTGTGTGTATGACTTGTTTATGGGTAATTCATAAAATATTAAGTAATGTTAATTAAAAAAAAAAAGCGCTATTGAAAACTGCAGTTATTTAAATTACCATCAATTAATTTAATTACATTTCAATTAATTTCACTGTAATTCTACTTCCTTAAATGTACATTTGAATTACTATTCTGTTTGCTACCTCAAGAACTGGAATATCACTGGAAATCTGAATTGAGTTTTGAATGTTGCACAACCCTATCGAACATCCCATGACACAGTGAACTACTGGTTAATTGTGTTGTGAATCCTGTGCCCATCGTCATCATTTTAAGATCAAGTCTCTTTTCTTTCTGAAGGTTCATCAGCAGGTTCTAGGTCAGGAGGTTCCTGTCACACCATTGACAGCAAAACCCATCCACACAGAGAGGGTAAGACTGAGTTTAATAAGTTATTTATGTACATTAGTAGTTTAGTCTTTTTATTGTGAACATTGGTTGTTTAGCAGTTTTGTTTTTGATTGTACACCTTTTGAACCGAATACTGCTTTTACTACAGAGTTTTCACTCCAGTGTTCACCTTTTGTCGTTATCCAGGTCTGTCACCCAGAAACAGTCTTGAGGTTTTAACCCCGGAGATCCCAGGCGAGAGGGACCGTGGGAACTGCATCACCTCCTTGCAACTGCATCCCAAAGGCTGGGCCACGTTGTTACGCTGCTCCAGCAACATGGACGACCAGGAGGTCAGTGCTGTAACCTAAACCTAAGAAGTGTGGAACGTGCAAAATGAATTAACAGTCTCGTTTCTGTCTTTCTCAGTGGACGTGTGTGTACGAGTTTCAAGAGGGAGCTCCGCCTCGACCTCCGGTGTCTCCTCGCTGCTCTCTGCGTCTCACGCACTACATCGAGGAGGCTAACGTCGGACGAGGCTACATTAAGGAGCTGTGCTTCAGTCCCGACGGCCGGCTCATCTGCTCGCCGTACGGTTACGGCGTGCGCTTGCTGGCGTTCGACGAGCACTGTGCCGAGCTGTCGGACTGCATGCCTGTGCGGACGGCTCTGCTGCGGGAGATTCGCTCCATCTACTCTCACAGCGACGTGGTGCTCACCTCCAAGTTCTCACCCACTCACTGTCAGTTCGCATCGGGCTGCCTTAGCGGACGTGTAGCTCTGTATCAACCACACTTTTAACACATACAAATGCATTCGAATTTACACTGATCGCTGGACTATTTGGAAGAAGCTTCTGATTGGTCAGACGGATAATGGGAGAACGAAACTACCTTAAACAGAGTGTGTGGTATTTTTTTTTTTGTTGGTGTGTGTGAGGTCACACTGCATGTGAATGACCTTCTACATGTTTGTCATTTTTAGATGTAATTGTTCTTTCCGCTGTGTAAACTTAACAGTCCGTGCGAGAAGGAAAGCAAACCGCATTAGTTTTTCTCCATGATAGAGGTTGAATGAGTCACACGAGCGTTAGAGGATTATGGGAGAATTATCTTTTGGTTGCTCATCCATGCAGCACTGCAGTAACCGCTCAAGCCAATCATTTTCATGCAACTGTAAGCAGTTCAAGCCGATGGCAATTTTTGCATTTTGCCAAACATTTTAGACTTTGCAATGCCATATTAGTTTTCAGAAAAATTTTTCTGGAAGCACGTCACTTTTACTAATCGTTCGTTTTATTTTTGGACTGCTTGTCTGTAACAACACTAACTGAGGTCTGATTCATAGATTGTCAATGCAGTATGTACCATGTACGTGTGAGTATTGGGATGAATACGACTTCTGCCGATGATTGACTGAATGGACTGGGAATTTTGTAATGTTCTGTTTTTCATATGCTTCTGGCCTCTACATGGACAATCAGCAGTTATGAAATGTTTAGATGCTCACATCGGTGGGAGCTTTGAACTCTAGACATGAGGACAATGGGAGAAGGCAGGTTTAACTGTTGGATGAGTGTTTTATACAGATAAGTTTAGCTTTCTTAAAATGAAAAAAAGAGGACAAAATCTGAATGTTCAGCTTTTCTGGGACTAGTATCAGTTAGTCATCCTTCTCGGTTATTAAAGTATTGACCGCTCTTGAACATGGAAAATTAAAAGCAGAGTGACAGTGAAAGTTACCTTTATTCATCCACGATTCTCATTTGATTCACTTTATTCATGTTAACAATACAAAGGATGCAGTGGTACAGATGTATTAAATAAAAAAAACTTTTTCATATCTTTTGTTTGGCATGAGAAAGAAAAATGCTGTAAAAAAGAGCTGTTTTTAAGCAAAAATGAGACTTGTATTAGCATACCTTAGACTGATGGATTGCACTGAATATGCATTGGCATCTGGAACCTTTAAACAGATTATTTAGGACCGGCGTGAAGCTTCAGGTCAAGCGCTGGATAGGGGAAAATGTCATTTTTGTAAAACTGGTGTTCCATCACCCATATGCAATAGAAAATGTAGAATGTAGAATTTATTATTATAAAACGGATAGTTCCGGTCCTTGATTCTGATTGGTTGAGATGCGTTCAAAGCTGTTGTAAATTACTCTACAAACATACACCTCTCTTTTTTCTGCTTCTGTGTGTTGCTCGGCAACCACTTTGTTGCAACCCCATCCGTTTCTGAGGAACTACATTGTTTGGCGGAAGAACAATGTTTTTATTAATATCATTACATTTTATTTGCTTTGTTTTATTTTGTGAAACCTTGCTATGTATATGGAATAACCGTTTTATAAAAGCAATAAGCCCCGTGAAGCTGTGCTTTACAGTGAATTTATAACAGCTAAGGGGATTTTAGGCACAACAACACCCCTTAGCTGTTATAAATTCACTTTAAACCACGGCTTTTTGAGGCTTATTGCTTTCTTTCCATATAGCAGAGGGTTTTAGATAATATATACAACACCATTCATAGGTTTGGAATCATTAATATTTTTTAAAATGCTTTTGAAAGAAATCTCTTATGTTCACAAGGCTGCAATTATTTGATCAGTAATACAGTAAAACAGCAATATTGTGAAATATTACAATTTAAAGTGACTTGATGTTTGATAATTTGATATATTTTAAAATGTCATTTATGCAATGTCAAAGCTCATGTGATGTTTCAGCAGTCACTACTCCAGTCTTCAGTGTCACATGATCCATCAGAAACTGTTCTAATAATATTTCTTATCATTATCAATGTTGAAAACAGTTGTGCTGCTGAGTATTGTTTTTTGAGGAAACCATAATACGTTTTTTCAGGATTCTTTGATGAATAGAAAGTTCAATAGAACAGCATTTATTGGAAATAGAAATCTTTGTAACATTATAAATGTCTTTACTGTCATTTATGATCAAATAATTGCATCCTTGCTGTATGAAAGTATTCATTTCCTTCAAAAAAAAAAAAAAAAACTTACCCCAAACTTTTGAAAGGAAGTGTATATAATAGTTTGAAAGCAGAGATGTGGAAAATGAACTGGTTTGCTCAGGAAGTGTGAAACCCACAGATCTACTGTTGTAAAATTTTGTAGAAAATTAAGTCATGTAGAATTTGTTTTAAACATAAATGCTACATTTTTAAAAATCTTTTTATTTTAATTTTCTTAAAAACAACACACACACACAATGCCACAGAATAGCTACTATAAGGATAAATAACACATCAAACTGACTAAACCGTAACACTGTACATATTATAGAGCCAAGTATTTAAAGCTTTATATTAGACCCCCCCCCCCCA